GAGGGCTCTTGCAACATTCCACGTAGGAGACAATGGTGAAGTGTAACAATGGATCAAATCCACCTTACAGACTGCTCAACTACAAAGGGAACCCCACCTGCCACAACAGAAGGTACAAAGTACACAGGAAATCAAAGCAAAGGTCCCTCGTGGATGAGCATCAAGACCATCATCATTTAGGCCCTAAATGTCAGACTCATTTTCACCTGGGGCCACATCAGCCTGGCGGTCACCTTCCAAGTGATAGGGGACTCAAGAGTTGGAAAATCTTAGTTTAAGTAATAGCTAATAAGCTTAGTCATCAATGCACATGAAAGCTGTTGTTCCAGGAACTGAGGGTGTGACCCACCCTGCCTCCAGGAGACCATAAGCAGTTCCACCTTTGTTCCTCCGGAGGACTGCCAGCAACTCAAGATCATATCTGAGCCACTGTGCTCCAGGGTGAGACGCGCACTGCCCAGGACACAGTTTAAGGCCACGCCCGGGGCAAGAATGCTGGAGTTGTTTTTCTTTAAATCCAATTAACTCCTCCCCGGATTTCAAAACCCCTCACCACACCTTGTTTATTCCCTGCTATAAAAAACATTGGCCTGGAAAGAAAAGACAAGGTGGTCTGTTCGGGTACAAACCTGTCATCTTCTCGGACCGCCGGCCATCTGAATAAAGCGCCGTAAAGATTCAATTGCTGTCTCTGCCGATTGGGTTTGGTAGTGACAGGCGGGCGGCCAAACTCCAGTGTCTTCACCAGTTTCAAAAGGGCGGAACGTAACTTCAGGACTGCATACAGGTAACTACTCCTTAACTAGGGGCCAGGAGCTCAGTGCTGCACTGGGTAGGAACCAGGTGCCGGGCCACATAAAACAAGGGGGAGGGCCGGACTCGGCCCGTGGGCCTCGTGTTTGCCACGTGCGATTCGGGGAGACATGGGCAGCAAACCTAAGTGCACAGGCGCAGGAACATGGGAGTGTCCGCAAGAAAGAGGAGACAGTTCAACTTCCCCGACGCAGAGGGCTGGTGGAAGGGCAAAGCGTGGATGAGAGCCAAACAATGGGGGGCTCAATGGATTCGGGAGCCGAGACTAACCACTATTTTTTCCTTCTCTCTGCTTTCTTACCCAGCTTCCGGGGAGTCGCCACAACATCCGGGGCCAGGCTGCTTTCTGCCTGTCAGGCTGGTGGATGGGTCTTTTTAAGAATGTGGGACACAGAAAGCGTTCATCAGAAATGGTCAATAAACCTGCGCAAAGACAACCAAACCGTGGCCCGTCCATAGCCTGACCGAGTTAGACTCATTACTTTGCTACCATAAGTGCTTCCGGAGCTGCAGAACGGCGGGGTTTTCACCCAAAGGCAGAGCCAGGGTTCTTACTGGTTTGGGGGCAAGGTGGAGCTGAAGTGAAATGTGAACGAAGAGTTCTTCGACAGGGTGAGAGGACACGGGGCTGGACTGAGAAGTGGGCTTCAAGTCCCTTCCCCTGGAAACTGCAAAGTTGGGACAAATGTGGAATCTGGTGCCTGAAACCACTGTCTGAATCTTCCCAGCTGGGCGGGGAAGCGAGGCTGCTCCCCGCTGTCCAAGCGCCTCCTGGCTCCGCCCCCCAGTGTGTGGGGACACTCCCATCCCACTGACAGGGCTCCAGGAAGCAAAGCTTCTCCTCATAGTCTGTGATTGTAGGGAACCGCCTTCTCAGTGCTTTGCCACTGGGGTCAATTAACAGAAGACGCTTGCTTTTGTTTATAGTTTTATGCCACAATCGCTTTTAACATGAATATTTGATTGATTTTTATTATTTTTAAATAATTTATTATACTTTGCGAAATGAAAAGAGAAAAAAACCAACAAAGATCTTTAAGAAACCACAGAATAAGCCCTGGCTGGCGTAGCTCAGTGGACTGAGCGCGGGCTGCGAACCAAAGTGTCGCAGGTTCGATTCCCAGTCAGGGCACATGCCTGGGTTGCAGGCCATGACCCCCAGCAACTGCACATTGATGTTTCTCTCTCTCTCATTCTCCCTCCCTTCCCTCTCTAAAAATAAATAAATAAAATCTTAAAAAAAAGAAACCACAGAATACAACTATTGAATTAAAGTATTGATTTAAACATGCTTAAAATACTAAATGTGTGCAATTACGAGTATCCTGTCTCTTTTCAAAAATACGAATGTATTCAGTCATAGGTCAAGGAAATCCGTAGGACTGGGTTTCTGACACAAGCAGAGCACAGACGGAAGGGGACTAGACCCCGGGTGGTGCGTGCACAGCGGGATATGCAGACGATGTATCACAAAATCGTGCACCCAAAACTTGCATAATGTTATGTCACCAACGTTATCCCGATAAACGTTCGATTTATTAAGACACAATTTTAACACACCAGCTTTGACTAAGACGTTGACGTTGAACTTAAGAAGGCTGCGAAGGAGCACACGGGTCTTGGGAAGGTGTGGGAGGAGAGCAGAGGAGCGCGGGGAGCTAGAAGTGCGGTCCCTCTACCCTGTCTCTACGTTATTACTATTATTATTATTATTGTTATTGTTATTTAACCAAAGCACTTTACAAAAGGGAACATTTTATTACCTACATGCTTTGGTCTGTCTTTCCTACTAGAACGAAGAGTCAAGAGAGAAAGGGTTAATCAACTTGTGCTTCGTCCTCTCCTCAATTCTCAATACTGGCATGGCCCACGGATCAATACTGGGCGCCCTTCTCTACCTGAAGTATCTCCCGACCCTTGGCTATGCAGTAAACATTTTATGTATCAATGCTACATGTACGTACAGTGTTGACATTTCTCTACTATGCCGTGCTTACACAGTCAACTGCCTACTTGAAACATGGATACTGAATAGGTACTTGAAAATGAAAATGTGTCCCTCCCTCCCCCGACCCTCCCCCACAGTCCCTAACCTAGTGACTCTGTAGTCACCCTTCTCATGGTGGATAACTGCTTTCATAATCTGCCAGGACGGCGGACAGTTTGGGGCACAAGCCGAAAACCCGGAATTTATCCTTAATCACTCGTCGTCACCTGCAAACTTATCAATTCTATTTCCCAAATATACCTCAATTCTCGTTCGCTCTCTCCGTGTCTACTGTGACCACACTACTGGAGCCGTGTCTTTCTTCCGGGCTACCACAGAAGCCCAACTGGTCTTCCTGCTTCTGCTCTATTCTTCACGCTGCTGCCAAAGACAAATTTTCATATGTACCTAAAATGTAGTCATCACACACACATATGTACACATAACCCTACTAAAAAAAAAAAAAGCCTGTCAGTTTCCAATCCTTGTTCTTCAGATAGCCAAGACTCCAGACCAACCTGTAGGACTCTCACAGTCTGGCTCTACACCCCTGACATTTTGTGTTTTGTCCCCGTGTTTTTTTCTGTTTTTATTAATGCTTTTCTCTCCTGGATCCCCAACTCATGCTCTCTGAAAGCAGAACTTTGACTTAATTGTTTATCGCTATATCCTTAACATCTAATCAGGTAGCAAGTACAGTCATGCGTTGCATATTTCCATCAATGAGAGATCACATATACAACAATGGAGCCATGGTATTATAATGGAGCTGAAAAATCCCTATTGTCTAGTTATGCTTAGCCATCAGAATGCCCTAGTGCAATGCATTACTCAGGTGGTGATGCTGGTGCAAACGCATCTACTGTGCGATCAGTTGGGTAAAAGCATAGCACACAGCACATATTATGTATAGTCCTCGACAAGGATAATAAATGACTGTGGCGCTGGTTTATGTATTTACTCTACTACACTTTTTATTATTTGAGAGTGTACTCGATCTACTTATCAAAAACAGCTTGCTGGAAAACAGCATGTTGTGTTATGCCTCATACATTTTGAGTTCACCATGTCTCTTGATTGCAACCTTTTTTCCCTTGTTCCTGATTTAACCTCGGGTCGTTTTGTACAGTAGCACGTTGTGCAGGCTTCTAGTCTGGGAGCAGTTGGTAATACCAGGGGGGCTAAGTGTGTGTGTAGCAGTAGGTGTCATGTGGGTGTGTGTGCGAGCACTCTACGATGTTCACACTAAGGACACATCTCTGAGAATGCGTCTCCCTCGTTTAGTGGTGCACGGCTGTCAGAGCAGGCAGTGAGACGCACCTTAGGCCCCCCCATCCCCGACCGCAGCAGCCGCACTTATCATGACACGCCTCCGTAGGGTCCTGGGGGATTTCCCTATGCACAGTGAGGGCTGATCTGTTTCCCTGCACCCAGAAACTATACAGAGCGCTGGCTCAGAATGTACCGCTCTCACGTCAGCAGGATCGAATCCCAGCTCTGCCATTTACTGGCTGTGTGACTTGCGTTGTAAGACGGAAAGGAGTACTTAGGGTTGTTATGCGGCTACACGTGTTAAGGGTATGTGTGTGTTTGTGTGACTTTATGTACATGCACATTAGGATCTCTCTCCCAAGAGGCCACCAGTTCTGTGAAATGAGCAATGGCACAATCGTGTGCATGATGGTTCCAGAATACAGAGTACGCGTCTGTTCCAGCGCTTTCTTCCTTAAACTGGGTTCCCTGGCCCACGTGCACCCTCCTGGGTTGAAAGAACCTGCTACCTTCAGCTTCACCATCCCCACAGCAAGCCCACACCCCAGAACCCTACACTGCACCCCGCTCTCCCCGCAGGGGGCAGACGAAATCCGGCCAGGGCCCCAGAGGGCGCCTGCGCCCAGGCCGCACCCGCTCGCACATGCGCAGCAGAGACTCCATCTGTCCTCAGGATTTCACTGTCTCACGGTTGAGACCTCTCATCTCTGTCCCTTCTTTGACAGCACTTAAAATCCTCACACCTCTCTCGTGCAAACTTTTCCCTCTAATACCTTCAGCTTCTGCCTGGAATTTTGACCGTGCTACTTCCCAATCCCTGCAGCTCCTCTCCCTTCAGTCTTAGGAACCGGCCTCCCAAGAAGTGTCGCTCAGACTTGGTGCAAGTATCGCGAGAAGGCGACCGGGTCTCACGGTATTTCCGTGTCACCAGAATCCTTAGCGCGAGGCGGAAACACATTCCTGGATCCCAGTCGGCCCTTCCCTGCAGTTTCTGGGCTCGGCGTCCCTGTCGCTGCGTCTCCCAGGCACATGGCGGCCCCCGAGCAGCCGCTGCCGATGTCCCGAGGATGCCAGAGCTCGGCTTCGCTCTCTCCGCCGCGGGGCGACCGAACCCTTCTCGTGAGGCACCTGCCAGCCGAGCTGACCGCGGAGGAGAAAGAGGACTTGCTCAAGTATTTCGGGGCGCAGTCCGTGCGCGTCCTGTCCGATAAGGGGCGACTGGTAAGGGCGCTGGGCTGCCGAGCCCGGGAGGAGCGCTCGCGCGGCGGGGGCGTCCCTCCTTCCCACCCGCCGCGCTGGGTGCGGAGGGAAGTTGGCGCTGGCTGGCGCCGGGGTTTCTGACAGCTCAGCCACGGGGCGCAGGAGAAAGGCGGGGCGCGAGAGCGGAGCGAGCCTTAGTTACGTCCCCTTCTCCGACCGGCTTGGGAATCTCTCAACTACTCGGATTTGGGGTGGGGGTGGGTTCCTCTTAGACTCCGTATTCTCAGAAATATGGACTTGTAAAAAAATCTTTCTTCATTTACAAGCCCGTGTTAACACCGTGCATTCAAGTAGAGCAGAGACTACGACAGTAACTTTGAGTAAACTAGTTACACTGTTTCTATTTCATTTCTTTTGTACCTGAAGATTGCCTTTATACCTTTAGATGGATCTGTCTGCATTGCAAGAGTAAAGGCGCTGTTAAGTTTCTGCAAGATGGGTTTTCGTAGGGCAAAACATTAATGGTTCTAAAGTCCCTCCAGTGATTCTAACGGGCAGTCGGGATAGGGACTTACTGAAAAACTACCGATTTTGGTCCAGGTGCCAAGTCCTCAGTGTCGTTGATAGGTTCTGCAACTGTAAGCCAAATGACGTATGAGGAATGCAGTTTTACGAAGGCTGATTGATATAAGGAAAGTCCTTATAAGGAAAGGACTTTGAACAAAATGACATCATTCGAGGACCTGCTATATAACCAGCAAGTTCAAATATTCTGTGTGATTCAGTGTAAGTCCGCGTAATTAGGTCATCTTGGGTCAAATTAGGCAAAAGTACAATTGTGATATAATCACTCAAGCAATTTTATTTTTTGAATTTTCATTGTATTTTTTCCAATACCATTTGGCCCCCTTATACTTCTTCCGCCCTGCCGTCACCACACTGCTGTCCGTGTCCATAAATCGTTTTTTTTTCTTGGACCCCTCCACCCCCTACTCTCCCCACTCTGGTTAGCTGTCCTCCTGCTCCCTGTGAGTCTGTCTCTGTTGTCAGGCAACTTCAAATGCTTTAGTAAGTATTGACAAGAACTTTTCCTTGCCATAACAATGCATTTACTTTTGACTTAAGTTCCTTTTCTGACGGTTTTAAAAATATGTACAACTTATATTTAAAAACAGATTTCCCCCACTGAATCCTTGTTACAAAGAAAAAGCCCAAAGGAAATATGCCCTCAAGGAATGTTTTTTGTTGTTGTTGTTGTTGTTGTTGAACATTTTAAACTCAGCATTTGGCTGTGTAGAGGAAAGTTTAAGATCTTTAGAAGTGTTACAAAATGGAAGACAGTCTATATTTTTGGATGGTTAAGGGTAGTCTACTGTGTATAGTAGCAGAGTTTTTTTTTTTATCTTTATTTGTATTGATTTTGGAGAGAGGGGAAGGGAGAGAGAGAGAGAGACATTGATTTCTTGTTCCACTTATATATGCATTCACTGGCTGTTTCTTGTATGTGCCTTGATTGGAGATCGAACCCACAACCTTGACCTCTCGGGATGATGTTCTAACCAAGCAGGCTACCCAGCTGGGCCTTAGTGGCAGTTTTTAAACTTTCGGTGAAAGGATGTGTAAAATGTGCTGTGCGTGCACGTACCTGCATATAAAAAAGGCTGCATAGCTTTTGTCTCAAAGAAGTCCAATCAAGAAAAGATTCAAAACCCCTGTCATGAAGTTAGTAATAACCAGTTAAAATCATCCAGATCTCTCATCCTTTTCCAAGATTTCATGAATGTGTCAAATACTGTTAAGTGGTAAAATATCAGATTTCCTTATAAGAAACTGAAATTACATTGGAAATAATTTGTACCTTAATTCTTTTTCAGAAACATACAGCTTATGCTACTTTTCCTAATGAAAAAGCAGCTGTAAAGGTATGACTTTTTCTTTACTATTAAAGTTATCACCGATTTTTTATTTAATCATGGTTCAGGAAGAAAACATAATGTTAAACTACAGTTTTTAAAAATGAAAGGGTTTGTATTTGAAGATTTTGCCCCACAGGCTACCTTTGCTTTGTCAGTTGGCAGATCTTAACCCAAAGCTTGAAGCGCTTGGGCATAAGGATAGTAGATTAACTGGAAATAAAGTTGAATTGAGCATTGAATTGTAGTCTCGTGTATTTAAAAATAAATTCTAAAGGATACAAAGATCAATAACTTTGTAACTGCTGCAAGGCAAGATGTGTTAAGTATCAAAGGGAGCGTGGCCTGTGTGTGTTATATTAACTCCTGGGGAACTGTTGGCGATGGGAGTGATGGTTCATGTAGGCTTTTAACAATTAGTTGGATTTCGAGAAGGAAGCAAAGGGAGCCGACCTTAGACGCGGGGCGGGGAAGTTGTAAGGGAAGCGGTAGCCCTGGGCTGAAATGCAAACAGGACTTGCCGTGGAGGTTCAGTCTAAATTTGGGAAGGAGGGATGGAATTTTGTTTCCCGCCATTCCAAAGGCACTTGATACTTTGGAGCCGCCAATCCTGTGGCCAGGCCTGCGAGAGAGATCTGGTGGCGTTCCTGCGGAGGGCTGGAGGTGGGACGGCTGGAGGTGGGACACGGTCGGAGGCAGACCGAGCTGGCGAGCAGGCGGGAAGCCGAGAGGAGAGAAGTAATGGCCCGGGCGAGAGGAAGGGTCTGCGTGAGCTGGGGAGAGGCAAAGGAAGAAGCAGGGGTGAACTTGGCAGAGGCTGAGCTCGTAGGTCTCGTGACCCCTGCGGATGCTGCAGAGGCTGAAGGAGAGGGAAGGCTGTGAGACGCTGGAACGGAGTCACTGGGTTGTTGCGTCGGCGGACAGGAGGGGCGGGATTCAGGGGGTGTTTGTAAAGGTGGAGAAGGCATCAAAGAGGAGTCAGCAGGCCACGTCCACGGAGATATTTTTAAAACAGTTAAAATACGGCTCTAGAGCTGAGGCAGGGTCAGAAATGGAGTTTCTTCAACCAGATGAAGGCATGTGGTTGCCTGAAGACTAGCCAGCAAGGGCGGTGAGCTAACCCACTTTGTCCCATCTGCCTGTTAGTTGATGCATAGAAAAAACTGTAGCAGAACTTGTACCAAATTGTTAGTACATATCTTTATCTGAGGGTGGGGCTACGGAAGACTTTCCCATATATATTTTTTAACATATAGGAGTATTTTTCTATAAGAGCATAAACATTGTAAGTGAAATGTGGTGGTAAAAACCACATTGCGCTAGGCTCAGGATTCACTGGGAGGAGAGGACAGGGAGCCAGGCGGCGTCTTTGGGGACTGTTCCCAGCAAAGAGCAGAAAGGAGAAGGTGGGGGCAGTGGTGGGTCTTTAAGGTGGAGTGCCTTTGACTGGTTGATTAAAAAAAGGGAGGGAAATGTTTAAGCATAAGGTAAGTATCTGAGAGACAGGGAAAGGAGTCAACACTAAAAATGGAAACCTTGCCTCCTTGAAAAGAAGGGCGTGCGTGACGTTCGTTCTGAGAGGAGGAGAGGTGAGCATTTAGCTTCCGTGCCTGGGCTTCAGGTGATGGACGGTCAGCCGACCGTGAAGAAGTTGATTTAGGGGCTTGGAAATCACTGAAACATTTTAAAACTGTTTCTGTATAATGGAGGAGTCGAATAAAGACACTTAGAGATGGTAGAACAAAATTGTCGTCCCAGTGAAGGCCTACGGTTCCATTTGTCCAAAGTGTATTAGGTGCCAGCCATGTGCTGGATGCTGTGTTAGGTCCTGGGGTATCTCGGTGAACAGCAGTTTTACGCCCGCGCTGGGGATCACGTTCTCAGAGGGACGGCGGACCATACATTGTGTAACATGTTAGAAGATGATAAATGCCGTGAAAAGAAGAGGAAAGCAGTAGGGCCGGAGCACTGGTGGGGGGCTGAGCCGCACCGGGTGACGCCAGGGTCACGTTCGGGCGGCAGGGTGAAGGGGGTGGAGGGAGCCGGCTTGGGCATGTCTGGGGAAGGGCATTCCAGGCAGAGGGGCAGCCAGGACCCTGTGGCCGAAGCAGACGGAATGGGGGAGGCCACCCAGGTCGGAGGCCAGAGAGGAAACGTGCGTCATACACGTGGGTGCCGTTGGGACCCTGGCGGGGCGCTCACTCTGAGAAAAACATTCCAGTGCAGTCACCGGGGTGTTTTGAGCGAAGCAGTAACACAGCACGACTTACGTATTGAAAGGGACCACTTTGGCCGTGGTGCTGAGACAGGTGGGAAGAGTAGAGACAAGGAGCTCTGTTACAGGATTATCGTGGATTGATTCACAGGATGGATTCAGTCCAGAGGTGATGGAGGGTTGTAGCAGCGGAGAGGGGGGAAGTGGTTAGACTGGGGATATAGGGTGAAGGGAGAGGCCGGCAGGATTCCTCGATGCTTGAGTATGCGATGTTCAAAGAGGTGTTAAAGGTGACGCCAGGATTTTAGGCATGACTAAGTGGAGGAATGGAGTTCCAGGGACTGAAGTGGGGAAGGCTCCCGGCGGAGGGCCTCTGGGGGACAGGGCAGGAGATGGCTGGTTCCGTTTCGGAAGTTTTGATTGTCAGGCGTCTGCTGGGCGACAGCTCAGGGGCAGCCATCCAGCGGTTCGGGTGTTCGTTCCTGGGCTTCAGGACAGAGGTTTGCGCTGGAGTTGCAGATGGAGTCTTCACTGTGGAGATGGTGTTTAAGTTCAAGGTGCTGGTTTAGGTCACCGAGAAGTTAGGGAGAGGACCAGTGACAGAGTTCTGGGGTGCGCTCGTGTTAAGAGTGTGAGAAGGCACAAGCCAGAGACATTGAGTAGGACCAGTGGAGGGAAACTAGGAAGGAGAGTACAGGGAGGTGCGGCGTTGACGCAGCGAGTGAAAACGTGTGTGATGGGGCGGGGGTGGTGGGGACCAACTGACCAACTGTGTTAGATGCAGTGCAGTGAGGGCCGACCGGCCCACGGGCTGGCGCGCAGCATCCGTGCTCGTCCCTGAGGAGCGGCACCAGTGGACGGGCGGGTTGAGGCCGGAGCCGGAGCGGAGTGGGTGTGCGACTGCGTGGGGGGAAGGGGGTTTCGACGGAGGACTTAGAGCAGGGGGTCAAACTCACTTTCACCGGGGGCCACATCGGCCTGGAGGTTGCCTTCCAAGGGCCGAATGTAATTTCAGCTCCTTAACCATTAAGCAGTTACGTTTGTTTATACAGTCCTACAGTTATTTCGGCCCTTTCAAGGCAACCAGGAGGCTGATGTGGCCCCAGTGAAAACGAGTTTGACACCCTGGTCTAGACGACTCTTCAGGGGAGTGAGGTAAATAGGGTCGCCCGCTGAAGGAAGGAGCAGGGTGGCGGCAACCGTAGCGTGCATACACTGATGTGGCCGATCCCACGGAGGGCGGAGGATTAGCTGTGGAGGTGAGGATGGCCCCGGACAGTTGCAGAGAGTAGAGGAGAGACTCCTGAGTGGGTGGGAGGGGGCGGGACTTAGCATCCAAGTCAAGCCATTGGAGAAAGACAAAGCACGTGGATAGTTAGTATCGTGGTAACAGCTGGAAGGTAGAATGTGTGGATGCAGATGCTGGTAGATGGGGTTTAGGGTGAGACTCAGAAGTTCTCATCACTCGCTTGCGTTTTCTCCAGGCAGGAAGCAAGGTCCTCGGCTGAAAGAGCAGGGGCAGGAGCATGGGGAGGCTGAGGGGTGCAGAGAGATGGGCAGAAAAAATGGGCTAAGAGTCCTCCTACAACTTGTCGCTGTGCGGCTTCGTTCTGGTCCACCCCCAGCTTTGTGGTCGTGGTCGTGAGTTTAAAGTGAGACTCGTAAACCGAGCAGTTCATCTTTAGATGGTTTCTCTAACCACCTTCAGCTGCCTGGGAATAGGCAGAGGTGAATTGAACCTGATTTTAGTTTTGCTAAGTGGTAGGAAGCAGCTCTTGGTGAGCAGTGCAGGCCCGGCAGCCTGAGGTTAGGAGTGGGTGAGAGATAGCCCAGGAAGCCATGGCAGCCCTGACAACGAACGTGTGTAATGCAGATGGTGTCTGACAGATACTCTTTGGTGCAGTTACCAGCTTTTCCACTCTCTTATTCCAACCGAAGGCATTGACGAGACTCCACCAGCTGAAACTTCTGGGTCATACTTTAGTTGTGGAATTTGCAAAAGAGCAAGATCAAGTTCATTCCCCATGTCCCTCTTCAGGCACTGAGAAGAAGAAAAAGTAAGTAGATGTTAGGCTTTCCTAACATTTCAGAGTGTTTTTTGATCCGTTGTGTTGCTATTGGATTGTTTTCAGACGAGCAAGTACATACTTTGAAACAATAAATAACAAATCTCTCTCTAATTGAATCTAGTATATTGAAACAGTGTATTTATTTTTGGTTTACTGTTGTACATTAGGGGTTGATTTAATATTAGGAATTAATGCGAAGTGGGAAGACAATGGGGTTAAAAGCATTGAACTTGAAGTGGGGGGAAGCTCACCAGGATAAAGTCTTTGCCATATCACAGAGAGCGGGTGTCACGACTAGGCCCGGCCTTTGAAATCAAAGCTTGGAAACTGGTTCCCAACTGTAACTCCCAGTAGTTACAGAACCTTTACAAATTTGCTTTATACCCACAGTGGTTGGCAAAGACTAGTAGTCCCTGGACCAGCTGCATCCTCCAGGGTGTTGACTGGGCTGCAGATTCTTGGGCCTCAGCCCAGTCCTGCAGAATCAGAAATTGGGGGTGGGGATTGGGGGGGTAGGGCCCCAGAAGCCCTTTGGGTGATTTAGGTGCACATAAAGCCTTTCAAGTACCATTGTGGAGACCCTCAGGGGTCCTTAGGGTCTGAGATCTCTCATACCGCCTGCGGAGGGTGGCAGGAAGAGTACGTGGAAACTCGGCGTGCCCTGTGCGGAGTCTGCAGTGGGGCGGGGGGCATTCAATTAAGGTCGGTTCTCTTGTCCTTTCTTATCATTGGCATGCACCTGGGAAAGGCTTGACGTGTTATTTGTTGTGGCGCTGTTTTCCTAAGGCCAAGTGTGGAAAGAACGTGTTTTCTCTGCGCCCAGTTTTTCGCCCTGTTTCCAAAGGTGAGACGAGCTCGGACTTTGGTGTGTTCCAGGTCTGACGACCCCGAGGAGGAAGAGAAAGAGAAGAAGGAAGGTGGTTGTCTAACTGTGGAAAATGGAGTCGCGCCGAGCCACGGGTGCGCCTTTGCTGTCTGTAGTTTGTCTTTCAGTTTGTTGCACTGGTGCGTTTATGTGCGCGCATCCCAGCTAATATAAGTTTAAAGGGGTATTTTGTCGTGTGTGTTATTAATTTGTTGACTAAACATTTTGAGCAATCAGAATTTGTCACTGAATTTGCTTCCGTTAAAATATTCGGAGCTGTAAGATGAGGCCTGATTAGAAGTGCCTTGTTTTTCTCTAATGGCGTCAGAAGGCAAGGTTCTCTTTAAATGTCCTTGTTTGGGTCTTCTGCGCACGAAGCGCGTCTAGAGCACCGAATCATTTGAGCGATTTGATCCGTTATCAGATGACCTGAAACCAGCTGTTGACGTGACACTCCGTAAAACTTGATCATTTTAATATTTTTTAGGCTGACCTTTCCCCTAAATTCATGCCTCAAGTACATGTACCCGCCGCCGTCCAGCACAATCCTCGCAAACATAGTGAACGCTCTGGCCAGCGTGCCCAGGTTCTATGTCCAGGTGAGTGGGATACAACTAGCTTCTCCAGGCACATGCTTGTACACCTTGCTGTGCTGGTTTTCATGCTAATTCTCCTACTGTTTCATGTGGTATTAATTAGACCAATTCCGACCGGCGGTGATCCCACAGTATTTTAAAGGCGTCTCGGTCAGTTCCGGCTCCTATAACCAAGTGCCGTAGACCAGGTGGCCCACAGAGAACGGGCAGTCCTTTCTCGCAGGGCCGGAGTCCGGGCGTTCGAGGCCGGGGGCCAGCATGGCTGGGGGCGGGGCCTCTTCCGGCTGCAGGGGCAGTTTCCGCTTTGTGTCCTCACGCGGCCAGAAGGGGGTGAGGGGGCCCTCAGGGGCCCCTCTCGTAGTGGCACTAATCCCTCTCCTGGGCTCTGCCACATGACCTAATTACTTCCCAGAGGCCCCTGTCTCCTGACCAGCACACCGGGGGTCAGGATTTACTGTATGAATTTGGGGGAGGGTCGCAAACGTTCTGTCTCTTTTCATTACTCCAGCATAAGCAGACCATCATGTTCAGTATTGATACTAGTAACCATAAGGCAGTTCAGGAAACATAATTTCGGGTGATTCTCTGTATTTCAGCACACACCTTTATGCAGGGATTCCTTCTGAAAGGAAGAGACACAGTGGGCCGCCTGGCCAGTGCCAGGAAGTGTCGATTGTGATAGGATGCCCTTTGAAGTGCAGCACGTGTATATAGATAATGTTTATCTTCTTATTCTACTTCTCTCTATTCACTCATTCCACGGTAATCGAGGGGAAAATAACATTTCAGAAGACTTTACATTTTACTAAGGAGGGTGGTACCTGCAGAGGTGACGGGTATTTTGGGAAGGCCGGTCTCCCGAGCGGCCCCGGGGCCCTGTCCTGGCCGGGCAGTGAGGGAGCGCAGGCCGCCGGCCGCCGCGCCACCGTGATCAGCAGTGCGACGGGGCGTTTCTCAGTGCACAGTTGTGTGAGCTGGATCATCATTTTTCTGAGTGATTGTAAATGTTTCATCTCTTTAAGGTGCTCCACCTGATGAATAAAATGAATTTGCCCACACCTTTCGGACCCATCACCGCGCGACCTCCCATGGTAAGAACGCTCTTAGAATTCTCAAGACTCAAAATGCCTCCGCCAGAGGCGGGTGATTGAGGCTGAACCCCACAAATGCTGTTCCAGTGACTGGTCATGTGCCCTGAAAGGGAGGCGCACGTGTGACGTTAACGTGATGGCCTAATAGTGGACTGCAGACCCGGGCGGGGGGGAGGGATCCAGAGCACCGGCACCCGGTCCCGCGGGGCGTGTGGCCCTCCCACCCAGACAGGGCGCCGCCCCGTGAGACGGTCACGCCCCGTGAGACGGTCACGTGCGAGAGACGCGAGGCTCTAACTTCCCGCTGCCGCCCCGCTCTCGCTGCCTGTCTGTACAGCTTCAGTTGCAGAAGGAGGTTGCTGATGGTTATTAGACTTTCCTGGGCAGACTCACCAGCTACTAGGTAATCGGCTTTGTCTGCCCTTGAGTAATTCTAGTTGTTATTTGCCATAGTACTTTTTGGGTAGTGCCCACGAGGAAGGGTCTGACAGCTGCCGTGTACGTAGAAAGTGTCCCTTTCTGTTAAGTGCGTGGGCCAGCTGCTTCTCTGAGCGTGCACCTTTAGCTCCCCAGCCGCCCCTGCGGCCACCGCAGCGCCCCCACGCAGCGGGGCAGGAGGGACGACACGCCGGCTGCGGGAACGGGCGAACTCAGGTCTCGGACACTTGGCACAGAGAGGGATTTCCTGCTCACGCGAAGCCCATTCCCAGGGCGGGCGGAATGGCGCCCTGCCCTGCCGAGCCACTAGGGGGCGCCCTCAGCCGGCCCACTGCCTGCCTCCCGGGTTGGAGGGGTCACCGCCAGGCAGCCTGCAGACCCAGAAGGGGGAGAATCACGCGCGGAAGGAAGGTCCGCAGGCCAGTGCGCCCGGCTGGCACCCAGGTCCAGGTCCGCGGCGCGCTCTAACTGCCAGGGACGCTGGGGGAGTCCCCCGTCCAGGGCCCCGGGGAAGAAGCCGTGTTACCTCAGCCGGCCGGCCGCCACTGGGGGGTGCAACAGAGCGCCCCGGGGTGCGGAGACGAGCACCCTGCGTCCCCGCGGAGTGGCTCCCCGCCCCGCCAACGTCAGGGCCCTTTCTGTCGTCCTTGTTCAGTACGAAGACTACGTGGCGCTGCACGCCCCCCTGCCGCCGGCCTCCCCGCGGCCCGAGGAGCCCCCGCTGCCGGCCGAGGACGAGGAGCTGTCCAGCGTGGAGTCGGAGTACGAGAGCGGCGACGAGGAGGACCGGCGGAGGTGCGCGGTTCGCGGTCGGCCGGGGCCCGGGCCCGGGCCCGGACGGGCTGTCCTGCCCGGGAGAGCTGCTCGCGCTCGCTCGCCCAGTTGTGCCCGAGGTCGCTGTAACTCGGCGTTAGCGCGTGTGCGTCCCAGCCCCCGGAGCGCGCGGTGGCCATAGATTCGGATCTGAGACTAGATGTCAAGACCTACGGAAACATTGTTGGGTTATGAGTGATTTTTCCGACTTATGGCTGTGGTAGTATAAAGTACGATCGACCCTCATTATCTGTGGATTCGCTCACTTACTGAAATTTGTTTGTGACTCCACAAACAATGGTTTTCACGGTCTGTGGAGGGCACGGGCAGGCACAGGACGGTGGCGGTGTGAGTTGGCCGACACACACCTTCCAAGATGAGGTAGGACAGGTGAGCCTCCGCCTTCCCGTCTCAGCTCCCGTTCTGGAAACAGGGGTCCTTTCCGTGGTCTGTCCAGTACCACGTGCTCCCCCCGCCCCCCCGTGCTGTTGCTTTGGCGGTGTTGCCGTTTGAGATGGTCCCCAGGCGTCGTGCTGAAGCGCCGCCGCCTCGTGTTTCCAAGGTCGAGGCCGCTGCGACGGGCCCCGGTGGAGAGAAGGGCGTGTTGCATAAGTGTGTTCAGGCGGGAGGTGCCGGCGCCCGAGAGGTCGGTGGCAGCGCGTTGACAGTTTGCACAGAACACGCGTGGCACAGGGTGCGTCTGGGCCGGGGCTCCCTGGAGTGTCAGGAGCGCGGCTCGCAGGAACCTGACCCTGAACTTCCCTCGGGGCGGCGAGTTGCCGTTCACCGGCCTTTCGTCCGTGGAGACTGTGTGGACGGGGAACACGGCAAACAGAAGAACAAGAATACTGGGCTACAGTCATATCCTTCCAGCTTACTCCCCTGGATTTCATTCACCTCAGAAAGTTCTCTAGAGCAGCTCTGTAGGATTTCATTTAAAAAACTATTAAAAGGCTACTGCAAATGAATTATCTTTCAATTAGTGTTCAGGATGATCTACGTGTGTTATTCAAGATTCTGGTGAAGAGCAGTAGGTTGGTGATAACGTTCAGCTATGTAACCCACCGCATGGCCCAGAAAAGGAATCACCAACATTTTCTTCCCAGGGCCAGAGAGTCCCGTCTGGGGGAAGCAGCCCGGGACTAGCCCTAAACGAGCGAGCAGGCCCGTGCTCCGGAGCACTCCCCGTCCCAGAACCGGGCCGCTGGGGTTGGCCCTGGGGCTGTGCTCCCCAGTCCCTGGCCTGGGGGCCTGGTGGGGGCAGAAGGCGGGTACGGGAGTAGGGGGTGGCCTGCGTCAGAACCCACGCAGGAATCCGGGCGACACAGACGAGTAATCAGCAGTTTTACTATGATTGCGTCAGCTTTCACTTAATTAGCAGCTCAGTGTATATCCTCTTTCTAGGAAAAGGGTTCAAACCTACGGGTAGGCGCTGCTGACAGTGCACAGTAGGGGTGCATGGCGCATCTGTCTTGAGTAGAGACCTTCAGAGAGGCCCACAGTTCTTGTAGACCGTAAGTTAATCTGTTACTGCAGAGAGGACAGTATGGTGTGCTGCACTGGGTTATTATCCTCTGTGAAGTTTACTTTTCTTATAAAAATAATGACAGTAAACTCCAATGCCGCATGTGGACTGGCCCAAACCTTTTTTGTTTGTTTTGTGCCCTTATGTTTACAGAGTCCTGAGAAGGACCAAGTCTTGGCACGAACCAATCTCTTGTTTCTGTTTCCCTGTTATCTTCTGGAAATGTGGAAAAAAGATGGTATTTATTTATTCAGCAAACACGTGCTGCCTACCACGTGTCAGCCTGGTGCTGTGGTTGAGACTGCGTGTAGTTCACATGAGCAGTGGATGAATGTAGGCGTGTGTGTTGTACGCCCGGATTTCCCCTTAGAGGTTTTGGTTAACCATGGCGGTTCAGGCTTTAAGTGGGCAGCGTGTGCTTACATTTTCCCTTGCATAGGACAAAAGGTACCAGTCTCGTTCAAACCACGGTGTTCCCCTTCCTTGCATTTTATTGTCTGTATGCTTGCTTTGCTCTTAAATCGCACCATGTGACTCCGGAGAGGCAGCAAGGGTTTTGGAGCTTCTGCTCTGGAAACAAGTGTCTGGCCCTGAACAGGATACAAGGTGCCTGGAGGAGGGCTATTCTAAATAGTGCTTGTAGTGGAGGTAAACTGTGTACAATGTATCAGTTGTCACTCCGTGGTTGTTACTTATAACCTGCTTCAGAGTATCCTGTTTGAAAACTTGGTTCTCAAGTAAGTTACTTGGTTCTAGAATGATTTGCAACAATTATTTACAAATACTTCTAAATAAAAACACTTCACTCCCGGTTCCTTTTAATACTTAGAATACGAATCACAATATTTTTAGCGTGTTTGTAAGGCCTTGGATGGCCGTCCAGGAAAGAACAGTGAGGTTGCCCAGGTTGTATGACCGTATCCCGCTCACCTGTTTGCATCCTTTTGGGCCATTTTGGAGGGCAGCTAATCAGTTTTATAATAAAACTTATCCTTAAAAGATAAATTAAGTAAGTTCTCACTTCTTTCAAACTAAGACGAAGGTTCAGGAAGGAGATTTAGAACCCATTCTTTTGTTAGGTGTGGTATATCTTAATTGATTGCTTAGGAATTACTCTTATAGCATGTGAATTATTTTGTAATTTTTAAACCAGATGCAAATTTAAGGTGAATGGAAACAGTGGTGAGTAGTTAGTTATGCGTCCACATAAGGAAATACGTGTTTTTGCTTCCCCTTCCCAATGCAGAATGGCCAAACTAACGGAATTAGCAAATCTTCAGCCCAAAAGACCCAAGCCGATGAAGCAGCGCCAGGTGAGGAAGAAGCGGAAAATCAAGGACATGTTGAGTGCGCCGGCACCTGCCCCACACAGGTAATCCGGTTCGGGCTCTGAGGTGGGGTGGTGCGCTCACTTGTCCGCTCCCTTAACTCAAGTCGTCTAAGCAGTTACGGCGGAAACCTGGCTTGCCTGTGCGCCGTGGAGTCTGATGGACTTCCATATCTCAATCACACAAAATTGCTGTTCACTGCAATTTTAATGCCATTTAACTTTTCTGCCATGTAAATTTCCCTTGAATTTGTAAGTAACTTCGTGAATTGAGACTGGAGCTTCTTAAAATTATCTTTTTCTATTTTTAAAGGAATGAATTTTTAATCCTTGTTTGTTTTTATTTCATCTTAAGTATTTTTCCTGCCTCTGTTTGTCTTGGCACCAGTCTCATGCATTTAGTCTCTACAGGAGCCCTGAGCAGTTGAAAATAAACTAATGTGAACCAAATTAAATGTTCTGATAGCTACAATGAAAGAATAAGGAGAAACCGGTGAAATTAATTTTAATGATATATTTTATTTTACCCATTATATGTTTTGCCCATTACATATATTTTACCCATTATATATAAAATATTATTCAGCATGTAATTAATATAAAATGTTATTGATGTTTTACGTTTTTTTGTACAATGTTAACAAAGTCCGGAGTATATTTTATCCTTAGGGCATATTTTAATTTGGACAGCAACATTTTAAGCATTCATTAGCCACTCTGTTGGACAGCTTTATCATGTAGTAGATTAATACACTGCATGAAAAGGTTTCTATTAAATGCAGAATGAGCTTGTATTGTATGCCGCCCAATAACCTTCAGTTCAGAACCGATAGTCCGCAGGTACTGTCTCTGTCACTTACTGAGTGACTTGATGCGGTTTCTTAACCTCTCCCCAGTCTCCTTGTCCATCGAAACTGGGACTGAATGGTACCGGCAGCAGCACGTGTGCTCGGGTGCATCGGGGCACCAGACGGAAGGTTTTCTTTGTGCAGTGCCCGCAGTGTGAGTGCCTTCCAGTGCTGACTTCCGAAACTCACCACAGAGGGGAAGTGATGTTTCCGTCGGGATCCTCCTCGCGGTTACAAAGTAACGCCCCGTGTTGGTTGTTCCCATGCAGCAGCGGGCACCCGGCGCTGACCCCGTCGGACGTGTTCGACCAGCCCCCACCGGTGGGGAGCAAAAAGATCGAGTTCCATATAAACACCGACGTGCCAGCTGCATTAAGGAAAGATTCAGAAAAGGAGCAACAACACCCTGAAGAACAGAACCGTGGTAAGCAAGTTCCAGGTCTTTAATGTGCCGTGTAGACATTCTTCTCACTTGGCGTTTGCGTTAGAATTAGAATTTGTGTGTAATGTTTCTGTCTTGGTATTTGTTTAAAATATGCAATTAGGTGTTTCTCAATATCAGGGACTACTATCCATTTTGAGCCTTTTTTATGAAATTAAAACTGGTGCTCAGTTAACAATGAGAATGTCACGTGTATTTTGCTACTGACGAACTCCAGGGCAAAATGTAGTCTAGCTCATGCTGATGTTTACACTGAAATTGTTATAGAAGAAGTTCTCGAGTTGACTTCTGTACTGCTTGGTAAGTGCGGCATCAGTGGTTTTGTTACTGTTTTCCGTTAGAAAGCAGCGCTGTGACCATCTTGTGAGTTGTAGATTTTATGTAACTTTCTAAAAGTCTGAACATGGGAGATTGTTCACCAAGATACTGTTTTAAGTTTAAAGATAATTTATTGAAATCAGAGATACTTTTCCTGCTTATTTTAGGCACTAATTTGATAATATAAGGGCATTCCTTTGTTCTTTAAATCTTTCATTTACATTTTGGAAATAATACAAGTTTATAGAAAATATAATTGAAACAAGGGCATGTAAAGTAAAATTTTTAAAAGTCAGCACTTCACACCCCACTGCGCCCCATGCCACTACTCAGAAAACAACACTGTTAACAGTTGGGTGCAGGGAGCCCCTTCCGCACCTCGCTCTGTCTGCACAGCATCAGTCGGCCACGCAGGGGCCACCTGGGGGGAGCACAGCGCGCCCTGTGCGAGCCCCGTCAGACGTGGTCACTGCGCGCTTTTGGCGTTTCAAGTGCCGCGGGAGTAGCTCTTTAGTCCGGTCCTCAGCGGTGTGGCTGCGTCCCTCTTCAGCTGCTGGTGCTCTGTTGGTCCCCGAAGTTGAGGGGGTTTCCCTCTTTTGCTCTCACGGGACACGCGGGGACGCACGTCTCTGCTCGGGGGTCCGCAGCGCTGGCGTGAGCTAGTGAGCTAGGCCGGGTCCCGGTGGGCGCTGGTTCCAAGTCCCGGCTCCCGCGGCCGGTGCGGCCAGCTCCCTTCCTGTGGTCTCAGCGTCTGCATTCTTCCTTCTGTGCTGCCTGCGCCACTCCTTCTCCTCTCACTTCTGTGCGTGTGTAAAAGCTTCTTTTAGCCAAGGGCGTGTCTCTGTAGGGACAGGGAGACAGGCTTCCCGTCCGTCCGCGTCGGTGTCAGCGGGGCCCTCGAAGGGGACCGGAGCCGGGTCTGGAGGCCCCGTGCCTATGGCCACGGCGGGGGGCGGGGCCTGTGTTCCCGTGCACGCTCTTCCGAGCAGCATGTCCTCTGCTCTGTCTCAGGGCTTTTCAGAGAGCCCGTCTGTTTGTAGGGGGTGCAGCCAGGACCTTTCTAGTGCACGGGGGCTCGGCCTCCTCTCCTCCCTCTGCCAGGCCGGACTGGCTGCTCCTGAGGCTGGTATCCGTGCTTTGGTAGTCAGACCATTAAATGCTGTCGTCTGAGATAAAAATTCACCACGTTTTTAGTTTTCCTAACCGAATGGCTAATTTCTTAGGTATGCAAATAATTCTTTTTCTTGACTTCCTGGATGATGAAGATCAGGATTGACTTTTTTTCCTCTCTTTTTGGGGGTAGAGGTTCAATGGATTTTTTTTTTAGCGTCTTCAAATAGGAATGTCTGATTTTATGGTGTTCATCCAGCAGTCGTGTTTGAGAAGGTTGACAGTTGTTTCACGGTATTCTGGTGTAGTGCTATGAACTCTTTATGCCCATTGTATAAGTAATCCCGAATGACCACATCCCATTAGCAGAATGCCTTTTATACTTGTGTAGTTCTCTGATGAATTGCAGGTTTTCACACAGGTATGAATAGTTCGTAGTGGGCAGGTTAAACAAGATGTTGGTTATCATCCCGCCCCCAACGCACATTCCACCTCTTCGTCACCAACCACATGTGTCACTGGATGCAGTTCCGGTGCCTCACGCTCCATGCAAATGAAACGCGGTGGGCAGAGGCAGGGGTGCAGGGCACTGCGGCCTCCTGACGTCATCGAGCTGCTGTAACAATCACAACCCGCGTGTGTCCTTGCACAGGAAGAGCCGTGAACCTACTGTTGCCCTCCCCATATGTGGCGCGTGTAGAACACGAGTTCATTTCCTCCCCACGTCCCAGGCCCCCAGAGTGCACCCCGAAGCAACCGCGGGCTGTTGGCTGCCGTCTGTGCCGGTCTCCTGTCACAGTGGCAGAGCCGAAGGGTCTCGGTGGGAACCACGCGGCCTGTGGGCCCTGGAACGGTCACTCTGCCAGCCCGCGCAGTGCAAGTCCGCACGCCCCGCAGACTGTTGGGACGGGAGGGGTTTTAATGGCTGCTGTCAATGTCAACTCGTAGATTCGCCTGCCGCCGAGGTGGACGCGTCCAGTGTAGGGTTTGGGAAAATCTTCCCCCAACCGAACGTGAACGTCGCAGAGGAGAGTAAGGAAGACTCGGACGAGATGCCATCAGAGTGCATTTCTAGGAGGGAGCTGGAGAAGGGCCGAATCTCCAGAGACGGTAATTTCGTGAAGCAAACAGACACTTACTCCGTTTCCCGTTTCTCCCTCCTTCAGAGACAAAACTGCACAACTCTCCCCGCTCCTTGCCTGTGGGCAGAGTTCAGTCATCCCTCAGCTGGTGTTTCTAGTGGCCGAGTGTCCGATTTTAGTGCCCAGACGTCATGGGGAGGACAGTCTCTGTCAGTGCGGCTCCAATTCCTATTTGGAAACACTGTTGGTTTTTCCTGAGTCTTTTCTGCAACATTGTAAACAAGTGCCCGTGGCAGGCGATCTGGGGATCCGCGTCCCAGTTGCTAGTCCAGCCCAGTGCTGTCCTGAGACTCAGGCACAGCCCCTGTTTGTCTAAAACCAACAATTGTGACTCTTTGGTGATCGGAAGTCTGTATTAAGGATTTTATATCTTAACATGATAGTTTCTTACTTCCAAAAGACTTTTTCCTGTTTTTTATACATTTTGGGAAGATACTTAGGAGCTTTAGGTTGACATGGAACACCTTATAATTTTCCCTGTAATAATGGGAAATAGGTTTCTACCGGGCATTTTTGCATAGAACGTCTCGTTGTCGGGAACAGGGTATTGACACTAAGTAGGAGAAGTAGTATAGGGGTTCGGGGGCTGTGTTTGTCTGAAATACTCCAACATCATGTGTGAGGACTTCATTCCCTCTTACATTTAAATATGCTGGTGCCTACTGATGTGGGAATTGAAGTAACATTAATTTGGTTCAGTCTTTTTAGTAAAGTAACTCATCTTAAAAGGAGCTTTAAGTAGCTTATTGGATAAATTTCAGTTCTTTCAGATGTCTGAAAATTTTACACTTTGTTTCTTCTTATCAATTTAGATTTTTAACAGGTATTTTTATCCCATTAGTAACATTACTTTTGATTTTTTATGGTTTTAACATTTTCATAATGCTTATTATGTCTTAACAGTTGTATTTGAATGTTAGATTTTTTAAAAAATTGACAAAAATATCTTAACTTTATATCCTTTTTTTGTTTTTAATAAGAAATGGAAACGCTTTCGGTTTTCAGAAGTTATGAACCTGGTGAACCAAACTGTAGAATTTATGTAAAGAATTTAGCTAAACATGTTCAAGAAAAGGTAGGTTGAAATTTATAAATAAATTTTATTATTTTATTTTATTTATTTTTTTTGCTGGACTTCCTTATTTGTTTCTTTTTCTTGTTGAAATTCTAGGACCTTAAGTTTATTTTTGGAAGATATGTTGACTTTTCATCAGAAACACAACGAATAATGTAAGTGGCAGTGATATTATCAGCTTTTTTTTCTTAATCGGTTATGAACCAACCCCCTTGTTTATCCCAGCTTTTTCCCTGTGGTTGCAAACAGGAGTCAGCAGCCTCCTTGAAAATGGGCAGAGAGTAGAAATTTAACATTTCAGTTTCCTGGCAGGCCCTACGGTACCTGTCGCAACAACTCACTTCCGCCTTTGTAGCAGGAAAGTACATAAACAATCCATATGCAGATACTCATTCACGGCTGATTCCAAGTGAGACTGCACACCACAGCCTAAGCATAAACCCCCGCTACCACAGAGGTCCCACGTGCCAGCCCACGTGGAAATGACCCGAAGAGCTGGGCAGACAGTTTTCTGGGCCCGTCCCCAGAGCCCGGTTTTGTGGGTTGAGGCAGTGCCCACGAACGTGCATCCCTAAAAACCTCAGGGGCCGTGCAGAAGCCGCTGGTGCGAGATCGGTGGGAGATCGCACTGGGAACCCCACTGTTCTGATGACTCATCATCAGTAAGAGCAGCAGCCAGGCAACTTGGTTAGAGTCTCCCCCTGGCGGTGAGCTTCATGAGCACTGCGTTAAACAGGGCTCCCAGTGTTACCATGAGAGGGAGAGAAGGCTCTGACTGGTAATGATACAGAAGCTAATGTTTGGAGTTAGAATGTTATTCTTTGAGATTCCATAGTAACTCCTACCTATGCAAGACCCTTCGCCACGTAATTAGAAGGAGGGAGAAAGGGGAAGGGAGAGACTTTTCAGTGAAGGTAAGAGGGAGGAGGGACTCACAACTGGTTAGTTTTGTTTGAAACTCCCTGTGCAAGCAGTTCTGCTACAGTCTTGTCCGGCCCGCGTCTTTTCGGGCAGGGACGCGCAGGTCTTACAGTTCTCCATTACACCCATTAGGGGAGACGCCGCTTCTTACCAGGATGCCAAGTTCGATTCTGCTGGCCGCACAAAACCCTGGGCCTTCCTCTTGTTGCCGCCTTTGAATGTGATTATAAGAAAAATAGATATTTTAGTGTACCTAAATATATACAAATGTGTATACACATTCTTTTCCTCTACTTCTAGTGTTGCCCATAATTAGATTTTGATGGGGAAAAATTCTATATTGGGAAAGCAAAACACAACAGAATGATAAATTAATTGTTTCACACAGGACTAGTTAAGTGAATTTTTAAAATTTTTACTGCATTTTTTATGCTTTATAAAATGCTTTAGCCTAGTCCTGTAGACTATCCAAATGGCAAGCAATACTTTAGTTACAAGTTACAGCCTGATTTTTCTGAGGAGGTGTGAATACAGCTTTGTCCCAGACATGCTGAAAACTGACCCCCTGTGGCACAGCGGGGCACTGCAGCGGGAGTGCAAAGGTCTGGGCTGAGTCTGCATCTCTGACCCCAGCTGCACGTGGGACCGGGAACCTGTCCCTCGTGAGACCTGGGCTCTGACCCCGTGAGGAGTGACGCCCTCCGCGCTGGAGGCCCGCGGCTCTCCTCTGGTCCCCGTCAGCCCTCCCCTTCCCGGCGCGTAGTCGTTATTGCCCCTTGAGTGGGTGGTATTGAACTGGCTGCACGAAACTTTTTAGAAGAGAGATACGAAATAAACACTTAAGAAATTTGCTTTTACTGTTGCTAGTAATAAAATTCTTAAATCGCAAATACATGTAAAACAGCTAAAAAGATAGGTGTAAGTGCATCCTCTAACTTATATTACGTACTTATAGAATCAGTTTTAGAACTGAATGCAAAATACAGTCTTGGAAAGCTTGAGTGATTCATGGGTTCGATTGTATAGCTGTGTTTCTCTCCGAAATACCAAAATTGTACATTGTTCAACACAGTTCCATCCACGTCACCAGAATCGTCTGACCTTCTTTGGATCAAACCCCCCCCCCGACTCCCCCCAGGTTCGACATTCGGCTGATGAAGGAGGGCCGCATGAAGGGGCAGGCGTTCGTCGGGCTGCCCGACGAGAAGGCCGCAGCTAAGGCCTTGAAGGAAGCGAATGGATACGTCCTTTTCGGAAAACCGATGGTGGTTGTATCCTTCACGTCAGTCTGTCCGAAAGACTGTACTTTCTAGGAGAAGGGTGTAACTGAAACGGATTTTTAGTATCCATAGGAAAAGTCCACAGCTGGCATTCTAACTTGAGACAGTTACAGACGTGCTTAGCTGAGTCAGGGGAGTGTTATTTCGATTTTCCTTGAAAAATAAAGGGATCTCAGCAGCGTGAGGTGATTAGATTTGGCCAAGTCTAAACGTTTCACTTATGTAGCTCAGAACAAGGTCTTCATGGCAGTCCTGAGACTGCATAATCCAGAAATACGTTCCGAATCATTAAAGAAAGATGTGGTTCATTGTAGTCTTATTTTATAGTTTAGCATATTGTAATTCATATTTGTATTTGAGAATTTGAGTAACCACAATTTACGATTTATTAAGCACCCCACTGCTAGCAGTTAATGTAGTTTGCAGACTAGAAACCAGCAGGATAGAGGGAGGAGCAAAGGTCTGGGTGTAAAATGTATCAGCTGGAGAAAAAAGGTAAATTTTTTGCTTCTCTCCCAAATCAGGGACAGCAGGTAGATAAAGAAATATTTGACAAATATCTGAGAGTAGAAAAATAAATTAAAAAGGTAAATTCAAAAACTGTACTCCTACCCTAAATTAGAGAGTTCTTGATAATTCTTTAGAAAAGATTACTTTCATGTTGTGAAGAAATCCTTAATGCTTAAATATTAGCAATTTGCTCGATCCGCTAGACCAAAACAAGATTCTAAAGAAGGAAAAAGAAAGTGTTAAGGATTGGTACAGGTAAGTATGGATATAAACTAATAAAAGGGGAAGACTTGTTTAAGCTGAAAGTTAGGAAGAATAAAACCCTAATGGAGGAATAATTCAAGTGTCTCCTAAGATTTTTCAAGGATCGGTCAGATCCTTCTGTCTGTCTCTGTCTGTCTGTCCATGCAGTTAATTCCCATTAAACTTCAAAGCTGTAACCACAGAAGAAAGCCCGTCTGTATGTGACAGTCACCTTTGGAGAGTGGCTTTTGCACAGGGAGTGAGTCAGACCGCCAGGTCCCCCCACCCCCCCTGAGACTCTGGTCCGGCAGGCCCGGGGCGAGGGCCTGCGGGCGCCGCCCTCCACGTTTTCCTGTGGCGCTTCAGCCGCGCCAGGACAGCTGGGTCACCCTCGGCGGGGCCTGGGAATCTGCATTACTCATTGCTCACCGAACACTTCAAAGAAATATATACGTGTTTTCTGTGGACTGGAGTCTTTTGTCTTGTAAGCATTCCCAACTTTAAAGTTGTGTTACACTGACTGATTTAGGAAAGGCAAATGAAAATACATACTTTCTGTTTTCTATTTAAAATCTTTCTGCCTGGGTATACTGGAAGAACATGAAGTAAATGGGTCAAAGTTACCGGTGTTAAGCTGAGAAAATGATATAACTTGGAGAAGATCTTGCTTAATCTTTATTCCTTTTGTGAGATAACTTGACTATTTGAATTTTGTTTTAAACAATCGATATTAGTTTAGTCAGAAGACCTACAGATTCCTTAGTGAAACAGTTACAAATAAGCCATTTTCCGTGTGTACTTTAAAAAGCATTTATTTGTGAATCCAATGTGGAAAAGGAGAAGAAATTAAACTGCCGTCTGCTGTTCTCCCTTAGACGCGTCCCTGCGCACATGCTGCCGCAGCTCTGGCGCACACAGTGTAACCGAGTGTATCCTTTCGCGTATCCTTTTGGGGGCAGCGCTTCCCGGTTTTTGTTTCTCCTAAATGTTTTTTTTGTCCCTTCCACCCACCCGCTGGTCCAGATGAAGCAGCAATTTTTTTACAGTTTCAAAGAAATATTGCTGAATATCAGTGCTGATGAAACAAATCTTGTATGGGTTTTTTAGATTTGTTGCTAAATTTTCTATTCTCTCCTTTAGCTTACATATTTTTTTGCAGGGAAAGTTAGTGAATCAGGTCAGTTCGTTTACTTGTAGAATGTGTGCATTTACTTTGATACAGAATTTAGTCTTTTTCTTCGTTTATGTATTTTCTAGACCGAATTCAGTATCCCATGTATTCTGTTTCATGACATGTCTGGTTTAGAAATTCTGTAGAACATGTTGTAAGATTTGGCTGGGGAAAGGAGTTTTTTTTCCCTTTAAAAATGGCAAATACTTGCAGTAGAACAACTGGATTCCTGTGTAAATTCCACATAAGAGTGGCAGACTTCGCACAGGAGGTGTGATGATGGAAATCTCCGTTGAGATAAATAGCAGCAGAAGTATTTTTTCCTCTTTCTTTTTCTAAACCAAAGCAAAGCAAAGCAAAGGGAGAAGAAAAGAGTAGCGGAGGTGGAAGACAGCCGTGGCCCAGGGTAGCACACTAAATGAAAAGAGGTGTTCCCGGTGGGTACAACGGGAGGACACTGGTTTCCAGGCTGGTTCACGGCCGGAACCACCCAGAGCTGGTTCTCAGGCTCGGCTGCCCATCCAAATGACCTGGGAAGCTTTTTAAAAATACTGACTGGAATGTAAAACAAAAAGATACGCTAAAAAAAATATACTGGAGCCTGGGTCCCTCCCCCAGAGTTCCGACTTACTGATCTGGTCTGCGACAGACACTGGCTGAGAACCACGGACGAAGGGTTTTTAGACAAAGATTCCTGAACTCTGTCCTAGGACAAATAGGTCGGAATCTCTGGGAATGGGACGAAGAATCTAATCTGACAAGGTTGCCTCCGTGTAGTTGTAAGGACTGACCAGTTTGGATACTAATTTGTGAGATGAAAATGGTTTGGTGCCTAATTCAACCTAGCCATCCAACCTTTTGTAAGTGGGAAAATAAGGTTGGTGTCTCTACATTTACAAATCCTGCTTTCATCAGTGCTGTGAAAACAATTCAAATGATCTGTTAGTAGCTTTCTTTCCCTAAGAGTACAAAATATAAATATTGAAATTCCTATTATTTTTTTGATGGGGAAGTTAAATATGCATTTTTTTAATGTTGTAAATCAGTTTCTGTGTTGAGCTCTTTTTTTGACAAATAAAATTTAATGCTGACATGATTCACTAATTTTCTAAATATAAATATTTTAGCTTTTGGTTATTTTGAAACTCACTTTTTTATAGTCACGATTATTTTTAATGAACTTTTATGCTATTTTAGGTTCCTTTTGAATTCCGTGTCTCTCCTGTGTTTCCACCTTTGAGGAGAAACGGACCAGCTGGGCTATGGAACTGTGCGTAACCACTTTTAAAGTGTATTTAAAAATTAAGCCAATATTCACTTCAATTAGTTTATTGGAGATGTATTATGTGCATTTTAATCAGCCTCATATATAATAAATTATTTTCTTTCCAATAAAATGATGTGCTTAATTTTTAATGCGTTTTATACTGCTAGGAGAGTATAATTTGATAATTATATAAATTTATTACAGTAATTTTACATTAAATTTAAATTTTACTTTCACATTACAAATAATGCCCTTTTTAAATTTTTATCTCTGTACCAATGTACTTACTTGAAAAATTTTTAAGTTATCTTATTTCTATTCATTCTTTTAGAAGTTTGGTTCTGTTTTTGTTTTGTTCTGTTCTGGGTTTTATTTGTTTGTTTGTTTTTAGTAGTGGGGGATTTTTCCCAGTTAAGGAAATTTGTATTGTTGCCCTAATTTCGTCTTTGATTTTTGTGCCCTCACAATCTATCGGAATACCACTCAGAAGGTGCAGATGTCCCCATATAAAATTTTCTCTTCCCGCAGTGAAATTAGTTCCACTGTATGTAAGCAGGGGACCTTTTCATACAGGCAGAGCTCACAGATGCCGCCAGCTGGGCCCAGAGCACCACAGTAAGGCTAGTCACACACATTCCGTTGAGTTCCCAGTGCGGCTCAAAGTTACGTCTGTACGGCACGGTAGTCCATTGGTGTGTGATAGCGTGACAGCCAACAAAAGCAATGTGCATACCTTAACTTAAAAATGCTCTATTGCTGAAAGATGCTACCATCATTTGAGCCTCCAGCAAGTCAGTTCGCTTGTGGGCGGCAGGCCTTGCCTCTGTCCCGATGGCCACTGACCTTGCAGGGTGCTGGCTGCTGACTTTGCAGGGTGCTGGCCACTGACCTTGCAGGGTGCTGGCTGCTGACTTTGCAGGGTGCTGGCCACTGACCTTGCAGGGTGCTGACTGCTGACTTTGCAGGGTGCTGGCCACTGACCTTGCAGGGTGCTGGCTGCTGACTTTGCAGGGTGCTGGCTGCTGACTTTGCAGGGTGCTGGCCACTGACCTTGCAGGGTGCTGGCTGCTGCGGGCTGCTGGCAGCTCCTTAAAACAGGACGGCAGTGAGGTCAGCTGCACCGGCGGACTCTTCCTTTCAGGTCGGTTTCTTTGTAGCACGTGATGCTGTTTGACAGCATTTTCAGCCACGGTAGAAGGTTTCTACAACCTTCGGAGACTTTCCTTTCAAACTGATGCTGCTTTTTAAACTCAGCATATGTTATATTTTAAATCTTTGGTTGTCTTCTCAACAGTCCTCACCAGGAGTAGACTCCATCTCAGGAAACCACTGTCTTTGCTCATCCATAAGGAGCCTCTCCTCATCTGTTAAAAAGTTTTATCTTCAGGCTCCTCTTCTAGTTCCAGTCCTCTAGATCCCTGCCGCAGCAGCAGTCACTGCCTCCCCTGAAGTCCTTACCCATCAGGGTCCTCCGTCAGGGCTGGTGTCAGCTCTTCGGAACTCCCGTTAATGTTCATGTTCTCACCTCTTTTCATGCAGCACCGATGTTCTTAACGGCATCTAGAGTGGTGAGTCCTTCCCGGGAGGTTTTCAAGGCACTGGCCCTGCTCCACCTCAGGAGTCACTCGCTGTCTGTGGCAGCTAGAGCTTTACGAAATGTATTTCTGAAGTAATAAGACTTGAAAGTCAAAATCACTCCTTGATCCTTAGCAGAAATGAAAACGACATAAATTTCTTTGGACATCTCCATCAGCCCTCTGGGGTGACCAGGTGCATTATTAATGAGCAATAATAACTTGAAAATCATCTTTACTGAGCAGTAGGTCCTAACAGTGGGCTTACACTATTCAGTAGACTTTCTTGTAAACACATGTGCTGCTGCTCCGTTTGCAGAGCCCAGGCAGGGCGGGTTCAGCACAGTCCCTAAGGGCCCTTGGGTTTGGGGACAGGGAGTGAGCACTGGCCTCAGCTCACCGTCGCCAGCTGCATCAGCCCCTGACGAGAGTCAGCCTGTCCTCGGACGCCTGGAAGCCGGACAGTGGCTTCCCTCCAGCCGTGGAGTCCTAGATGGCATCTTCTTCCCATGTCAGGCTGCTCCATTTGCGCTGAAGCCTGCCATTTAGGGCGGCCGCCCCCACCGGTTCTCTGCGCTGGGCCTTCTGGGCAGCCGGCCGCTGCTTCTGCTTTGGCACTTTCGATCCACTTGCACTTTGATGTTGGGGAGACAGCTTCTCGCCTCAACCCTCATAGCCCAGCCTCTGCCGGCTTCAGGCTCTTCCTCCGCAGCCTCCTCCCCTCTCCCAGCCTTCCCAGGATGGACGAGAGCCAGGGCCTTGCTCTGGGTTAGGCTTCGGCTTGGCAGAGGGTCGCGGCTGGTCTGGTCTCCTGTGCAGACCACAGAGCCTCTCTCCAGCCCTAAGGCTGGCGCACTGTCTTATCGTTTGTGAGGGGTCCTTCTCGTTCCCTCCAAGAGCTTGTCCTTTGCACCCGCAACTTGGCTGTCCGGTGCAAGAGGCCTAGCTTGGCTTTTGAGATGCCGCCTTCACTAAGCTGAACCTTTTCTAGCTTTTCATCTAAAGCGAGAGACGTGTGACTCTCCCTTGCACTTGAACACTTAGGGGCCGCTGCAGGGTTATTCACTGGCCTGTTTTCAGTCTTGCTGTGCTCCGGGGCGCAGGGAAGCACGGGGCGGGGGGGGGGCGAGAAACGGGCGAAGGCTGGTCGGTGGGGCAGTCAGAACGGACACAGTGTGTAGTATATAAGTTATTACTGCCTTATCGCTCTTCTCCAGTTGTGCCTTCTCCAGGGCTGGGGTGAGTACGAAGCGAGTGAGACATCTAGAGTGTTTCCCTTCAGGGGACGCGCTCAGGACAACGCCAGTGCCCCTCGCCTCACCCTGGCCACAGCCCTGCCCCCCCGTTAGTAATGTGGATGGCTCAGCGGAACCCCGGCGGGGCAGCCATCAAACCCAGGGCGGCAGCGCTCAGGTGGCTGTCTGAGATGACTTGCAAAGTGTCTGCTGTGCGAAGGAGACTCCTTCGGAACCGTATGCCGAGACACCAAGGCTTCCCAGAAAGGGAGGGAGAAGGGTAGCTCGCAGGCACCTCAGGCGCAAAAGGCCTGTACTGCACGCTCAGCTGCAGTCACCATTCGCTCCTTACTGCCATATGGGAAAATGCTTCCCACTGAGCAGTGGAGGTTTTTCATAAACTTCAAGTCAAAAGGCATTTCATCACATGTAATTTCCTTACCTAACGCCTATGGAACAAAACTAGTGCTGTCGGTAGGACAGTTCCGTGGACGTGAGAGCTGCCCAGTGTATCAGACACACGAGAGAGGGAACTGATGATTTTAGGGGGAAAGCAGTCCCTGCCCCGCGGACCTAAGCTGCGGACCCGCGCAGCAGCGCGCTGCGGAACGGGAATGGCGCTCGCAGGACGGGCGGGGGCGGGGGGGGGGTCTCGGACAAACACCTGCACCTCCCCTCCCCCCCCCGCGCCAGTGTGGACACAGCGGCGGGAAAGAGAGGCCCTGGGCCTCCAGCACGCCAAACCGGAACGCCCTGGGGAGAGGCAGGAGGTCAGGCTTTAGAGCGCCTGTGGGTAACGGACAAACGCTCTGCGGGCTTGTGTCTATCAAAACTGGGTGTCAGAAGTGAGAAGGAGGGCATTTGACCACGCAAGAGGGAATGTTAACTTTAAAATAATGGCATAGCACCGGGACACCATTTCCATAGTAGCTAATGTACCGGGGTCTTTGAAAAGTCAAAAATCCAAGAAGAAGATCTGGGCCCCAGGTGACTGTATCGCAGGAAACGCTCCAGGGCCGGAGAGCGTACAGAAGTACCGTGGCCCGTGCACCGAGATGCGGCGCGCTGCGGGGGGGCGGAGGCGGGAGGGAAGGACGCGGGGGCGGGGGTGGGGGCGCCCTGCTTGTGTTTTTCCTTCAAAAAGATATTTGAAGAGAATTTTGACAAAGTGTTAACATCTCTTAAATCTGGGTCTTGAGACGTGGAGTCTTTTTTTTTTATAATTATGTTTTTCTATGTGACAAATATACAACCAAAACGAAAATAAAACAATATGGTGGAACACCTCCAAACCAGTTTCTCAGCTATTTTTTTTTATTATTGCCCCCCCCAGAGGAGCATTTTTAGACATTTTAAATCGACCTATATGAAACTTTACGATCACAGTATACTGTGTGTCTGTATTTAAACTATATGTGCCTGTCCTATGGATAAATAAGTAAGATTTTTCTTCCTCCCCTAACCCAGGAACTAAACAACCACCAACCATTTGGAAGACAAATAAGACCGTTAAACAGAACAAATCATGCAAAGTATATTCTTTGACCTTGCCTGAATCAAACTGCATATCAGTAACAGAAATTTTGAAAAAATCTTTCAAATTCCTGGATATTAAATAATAGATTTTAAAATAACACATAGATTTTAAAAAACAGGATTCTTAAGGGAATTGAGAAAATAATTGAATTTGAATGGAAATGGAAATACAGCATAAAAATATGTGGCATACAGCTACAGGGGTGTTTAAAGGGAATTTGCTAATATTAGAAAAGAATAAACGTCACATATTGGTGATTTACATTCTACCTTAAGGAACTAGAAAAGGAAGAACAAATTAAATCCAGAACAAGCAGGAAAAGGAAATAATAGAAATAAGTACAAACCAATGACTTGTAAACAGAAAACCAAAAATGTAATGGTAAACAAAACTAGTTCCTGAAAGATCAGTAAATTGAGGAAATTCTAGTCAGATTGCTAAGAAAAATAAAAGATCCCCCAAAGTGTAAGAATATAAAAATGGAGTACTTGGAACAAATTTGTTTTCATAAATTTGACAACATCAATAAAATGGACCAGTTTCTTGAAACTGACCCACAGAAACTGACAGTTTCA